TATTTATATTTATATTTATATTTCTATTTATATGTATATTCATATTTATACAACAAAACGCACGCACACGCACGCACACACACACAGAGACAGACAGACATACACTCTACAACACCAAACGAAACCACACGTGGCCTTGAGCAACCCCATAGATCAGGACGGTATACAATCGTGAAAGCTAAAAGCCGGAAGCCGATTTAACCCGATGACCCCAACGCCCTAGAAGCCTACAAACACCAAAGGGTCCTATGAGTCTATAGGCCCTAGGCCTGAAACTAAATCCTGCATGCCACACCCCATCACCAGGGTGGAAATTTTTGTAACTCCGGCTGGAGCCAGGGCCCGGCCTGAGCTAACCACCTTCGCAAACAGATTGCTGCAAGTGTTGGAGACCATGGGAAATCCCCACGTAACCGGAAGCTTGAGAAATGACATTTTTCTTGAATACCAGGCCCTGAACATGCCGAAGAGACCGTGCGCGGTTTGAGCCATGGGTTCCCGCCAGGTGTCCCGAAGATGATTTTAAATTTGTTTTTTGATGAGTTTTGCATTGCAAACGTTAGGCCGGACACTTGAAAACGTTGTGTGGCAGCTTGTTTGTTGGATCTCCTCAGCGGGACATCACCGACAGGCGTAGAGAAACGATTGGCAGGGAAGAATCAGATCAAGAGCGGGACTTTGGAAACAGTTGTCGTCCTCGGCTTTATCATCTGATAGCTTTTCGCGGGGCCAAAACTCTACAGGTTAAATACAACCTGGCACAATATCAGAGAAGTGCTTGAGATTTGGATTCAGTTCAATTATTTCTTGTGCTGTCGTCTCCGTGCCACGATGTGTAATTAGGCGAGGATCATTCACATCATGTGACCAACGTTGTCCGCCAAGCCGCCGGCAGCATAGAGATAGAGTTCATTAGTTAACCAAACTCCGAACTTGGAAGATGCCTGAAGCCCGACTTGCTAGACCCGAAATTTTGTAAACTCCACACTCTCAACCGTCAACACCACGAATTAAGCAGTATTGTACGAATTTTAATTGCCCCTTCCAAAAACGTTTGAAAGTTAAACCTGCTGAACCCTTCTAAAGTTGTTCGAAGTTAACAAGGCTTGGGGCGATGCGTTTCGAACGGAGCTTCGAGCGCCGGAAGACGGAGGCGGATGGGAAGATTCTCGGGGCTGCAGCAAACCCAGCAAGCGTACAATTAGGGCTTAGGGTACGGTATAGTACAATGATGCACCAAAAGCAGAGAGAGGGAGAGATAGATGATAGAGACAGACGTAGAGACAGAGACAAAGGCGGAGATGGAGACAGAGATAGGGATAGAGATGGAGATAGAGACAGAGATATAGATAGGGACGGGGATAGCAGTAGAGATAGACATAGAGATAGAGATGGATGTAACATAAGAAGCAGCAAAAGCGACAGAAAAATCTGCGTGTTTTGCCGATCCGTCTATGTAGGTCTGTTCGGTTTCGGGAATATTTCAGTGAAGTGAAAAGTTGGGTTTCGATAGTTTGGTAAGGCCTCAGTGCTTGATCGGCGGCACGTAAAGGTCTTGTTCTCGGGATAGTCTTTGAAAGTCTTGTTGCAGGTACTTCGTTTCGGCATATTCCGATTTGTTTCTGCTTAGGGGTTCATCAGGCTTTAAATTTAGAGCTGGTTTACGCGGTAAACAGTTGAATCCACGGCTGAGCCTTGGGATCATGTTATGTCTGCAACCCATTCGTGGGAGGGTCCCTGCGGCCGGGTAGGCAACCTTTTCTCCGCAACCCACCATAAGCAAACGGGTGACTTTTTCTGGGTTGGCTTGTTCAGCCCCTACTGCTGGTTGGGTTCCCCCGATGCACGCTCGGGACAGCCAGCACAAACCGGAGATGCAGTGGAGGCTCCATGACTTGAAGGTCCGGGGTGTGACCTGGGACACAGGGTGAGTCCGGTATACATCGGACCTTCGACGACTTCCTCGACTATACCGGGAGGCGAGAGAAGCATCGTCTACGGCGCCGACGCCGCCACCTGCCCCAACTCCGCCTCCATGTTTGGGGCAAAAGGAGCAGTGCAAAAGGGAAGGGCATCGGACACAACCGCCAGGTCTCGGCAGACCCTCAGCCCCAGCAGAGGCTTGAATCACCTGTGCCTTAGCACATTCCTTTGTCATCTCTGTTTCCTGGCGCTTGGCGACTGCATAGGTCCAGGATCTACGGATGTTACGCCTTTCAGATTGCTGTGGCTCCCTGAACCTCAACAATCTTGCCAAGCCTGAACCCTGAACCCGAAGGCCTCCAGCCCTAAACTCGAACACCTACGCGGCAAAAGACTTGGGGTTGACAGTCCCTACCCATAGGCTCCATAGTAGTTCCTTTTTGGGATTCTATTTAGGATCCTTATAAGGTAACCCCCAAAAGGAACTACTGTGTGGAGCCTATGGGTAAACCCTGAACCGCACCTCTCTGGTTCGGCAAGAATGCAAGTCTCAGGTTCCAGGGTCTACCCATAGGCCCTAAGTAGTTCCTTTTTGTGGTTTATATTTAGAATCCTATGAGGTCTTCCCAAAAAGGAGCTACTTAGGGGCCTCTGGGTAGGGCAACCAAGATGGCCAGAGACCTCCTGCGTGATCTTCTACTTTGGAATTCCGGGTTTAGCATTTATAGGGTTTAGAGTTTAGCCCGTGATATTCTAGGATCCCTCAGAGAATTCCGGGAAACATGCCTTTGGAAGGATACCGCTGTATGCACGCATGAAGACGTGTGACCGTAGCTGAGATAAGTCCTTGCCCCGTCCGACTCCTAGCCACCCTGTACCAAGAGGGGCCATGTATACTACTATTATCAATTAAGTTCCCCAAACAACAATCGAGATGGTCTTTTGGGGCCTATAGTTCCATAATGGTAGCTTAGCATATATGGACCCTCTGGGGTAGCCAACCCCAGGTTGGCTACGTAGCAGTCCTGCAAGACATATGAGGGTGTAGAGTTTAGGACTTGCAAAGTAGGTTTGTTACGACTCTGAAGATATTGGCCTATTCTGGAATCTCGTCAACAAGCATTAGTCGTTTCCCCTTAATATTAAACGCCTCCCCCCCTCCCTAATATCAAAACTGAAATCCGGCGGTTTGGTTTTTATATTAGGGGGGGGGGTTCGGCAGGAAATCATTAGTGAGCCAGACACAACAGCCGTCCACTCACGCAGACTTTCCGGCTGTAGTAGCCTAGAGCCTTAATTAAGCCCTAAACACCTAAGCCCCAAAGCCTGGAGCCCTAAGCTTTAAACCCCAAAGCCTTAAACCCTAAAGTCTTAAGCCCAAAAGCCCTGGTCCTTTTGGTTTAGTACTACTGTAATCTCGGCTCCATAAAACTCATACTAAGCCCCCCTGATGTTTTTAATTAACTTTCAATTTTGGGCCCGAAACCGCAAAATTCCGGGACCGGGAGGTTTTTATATTAGGGGGGTGTTTAGTAAACGTGGGAAGCGATTACCACTGATATTGAAAAGCTGCTGGCCGTTCCAGGGTTTCTCACTGAACACAATGTCAGTCGAGATTCAACACATATGCGAAAGCAAGTCCAAAAGCCAATAATTGAACGCATACTACATCTGCAAACAACCAAATACACATTCAGCAGATGCATGAGTAAACACAACAGTTGCACATTTGTATGGCACCGGATCGACCTTTGTTGTTTTGGGCGGCTTTCGGCGATGAAAGAGATCACCAACGGTTTCATGGTACAAGAATCCAAAAGCCTAACCGAGAGCCCAGCCAAAAAAGCTGAAGGGAGTTATCCGACAACGCCTAAGCCTAAAGACCGCGAGACAAGATTCTCACATTGTTGTTTAAGTTTTTTTTTTGGTGAGGCTTTCCGCTAAGGTCGTTTGCCTCGATTCAACTGTTGATTCGCTGTTCGGTTTCTGACGCGCGCGCGCGTGCTCGCCGGGCTGTCTACGTCCCTTTAACATTCCTAAAACCCCCAGTCAGCCCTTTCCTATCAGGGTTTACCTGTAAGTACTGTAGCATTAATCGTATCAGATCGGGCTGTTTCTGTTCGGCCATCACAAGACAGCCAGCTCGCCAGACTTGTTCGCGTCTGTGGTGTGGATGTGGGACCGTGGGTCATATTCAGATGGCTCAAGAGTTCTTAACGAGTATACTGTTGGTTTGCCACCACCCTTCAATCCCTGTCAACTTGTTGGTTCAAAGGTAAGTTGACATGATAAGCAATGTATCCAAAGTTGGCCTCTGCATGGCCTCAGCGGCAAGGAATATCGCTGTTCAATGTTACAAGTAGCAGATACTTGGAGTTTGAAAGCCGAAAAACCAGGAGGCTGTCCCAGCAGTTCAACTCACAAGAACCGTGTGAGGTAAGAAGTACACATCAATGCAAGTTCGTTCAATATGTATGAAGGCCAGGCTTTGTGATTTTCTGTGCTTCTCTTTTCCTACAGTTAGTTGACTGTCACTGATTGGAATTTCCAAGTTATTCTTAGCAAACAAGCCAGCTTAAAGAACATTTCTAGGCACGGGTGAACTTTTTAAGGCAGGGTGGGGAAGACCGAGCGGCAAGGACACTCCGTGCCCGCTTGGGGAGATCACTACTGCTGCTTGGTTTTGTCTGATTCAGGGGACCCTAATATTGTACCTTAAATAGTAGGATCCTTATTATAAGGGCCCCAAAATAAGGTACCCCTAGGCCTTCAAGATGAAATCCATTCGATGCGGCTCAGTGGTTTGCAGACGGATATTCCGACGGCCTCGCTTAACCTTGGAATACCAAGGTTATGGTGAAGAATGTGCCCGTAAAGTGCGGGCAGCGCCGGCTACTCCGACAATTTCTGGCTGCCGGGTTTCAGGGCAAGCTGGACCCCTCGCATGCACGGGGGTTCGTCTGCGCACAGCTTCCCAACCCATCAATGCCTCACCTCCTTGCGCTGCGAGGACTTTATCTACTTGCCGATGGACCCAAGAAGTCGATCCAGTCGTGGTTTTGCTTTTGTGAACCTGACCACGGTCGAGTCTGCACACCGCTTCTACCGTGGCTTGAATGCAGCCTCTCCATCAGGGAATTTTAGGGAAATGACCCGATCAGATATTCGCCCTGTGCCGACAGGTATCTTTCACGGGAACTTTCTTAAGAACTATCCGTCCGAGACACCGTTGGAGGCAAGGTTGCTTGTGTCTTGACGGTGAACCTCAGGTTTGTTGCACTTCTACTTGCACGGACACTGCTCTGCACCATTTTTGGCAGGTTGCCGTTGCAGAGATTCAAGGCTTTGACGCCAATGCAGAGCACTACCTGCTAGTGAAGGCCTTCGCGGGCCATGCACAACAGGGCCGTTGCATTTTCCCCTGTTCCGCGCGCAGGCAAGCCGTAAAGGCAAGGGCCGAGATGTGTTCGGCTGCCCGACATTCCTGCGACCATTACAAAGGCATCTGCCACTCGAAGAGAAGACTGGTCCGACATTCCTTTCGATGTTTCTAGATGTTCTTACATCGTGTCTGAGATCCTTTATCCACCAAGGGTCAACCACCTGCGGACGTTGGAGGACCCGTGATTTGCCATGTGGCACGGGACTTGGGAGGTCGCAAAGTTGGACTGCATGAGGTTCCCAGAGAAGAACAGCTGCGGTACTGCAAAGCTGGAACCCATCAGCATGCCAGTTTATGAGCGGAAAGCTGACCGGCGTCGTCTCCCTTTGTTACATAGAGGGAAGCCCGCTCTGACCGGCGTAGCCGTGAGGAGCCCAAGAAGCCCAAGAGCAAGAGCTCACAGCACGAGGAGGCTCCCAGCCTTTGCGAAGGACTCTCTCTGGGCTTCTGCGAAGTTGAGGCTTCCTTTTGTCCCCTCTGCAGGCGAGCCAGGATGGGCCTGAGGGCCACGACATTTCCTGGCCGCCCATGCGGGATCTGCGAGATGCCGCGTTGCAGCTGGGGCCTCGGAGAAAGGCGTTTCTAGGCCTCGTGTTTATCGTCATGGAAACAGATCCGTCTGGATCTGGGTCTTCAGAGCAAGTCAAGGAAGCCCTAACCTGCGATGGCATCGAGGAGAGAGCCCTAGCGACAGGTATCCCATCCAGCAGCCTGTCGCGAATCTGCTGGTTGAGCCGCCGCACTCTCAAACATCACCCTGCAGTTTTCTCTAGTGAAGTGGACCTGCTCTGCTGGGCTGTAGCAGAGGGACGGGGCCGTGTTGGCATAAGGTTGGCTATCGAAATTACACATGACATGTATATTTAGCATGTTTCTGAGTGGAATTGTCCGCATCATATATATATATGTATATTTGTATGTATCTTATACTAAAGTACAGTCTACATAAAGATGCATACATACATATATATATATACATTATATCGACATGTACACACCCACACACATATACAATATCATATTATATGCATACATACATACCTCTCTCTCTCTCCATTTTTAAATATATACATATATATTCGAAGTCTGTTACGTATAACTGTAGATACGAATATATGAATATGGAAATGAGAATATGAATGGATTGGCCCTCAGCCCGCACAGCTTTCGCCCAAGCCTCTAGATGGCCTCAGATGTCCTGCGCTTGCTGGAGAGACAGCCGGCTTCGAGCCAGATCAGATGAAAAGCACCAGTATTATTGCTATGATTGGTATTGTTATTATTCATTATTACATTAACTATTAATTATGAATTATTATTGTTATTGTTATTATTATTAGTGTTATTATTATTAGAATTATAGTATTATAGTATTATAGTATTATAGTGTTATAGTATTATAGTATTATAGTATGAGTATTAGTATTGGTATTAGTATTAGTGTTAGTATTAGCGTTAGCATTAGTATTAGTATTAGTATAATTATTGTTATTTTTATTTATTTATTGGTATTTATTATTATTATTATCATTATCATTATCATTGTTATTATTGTTACGATTATTGTTACCCATGCTGCTTGCCGAGGCCACACAGTGCACCCATGCGGCCGGAAGCAGGCGCGGTCCCTATGAGGCGCACGGGGTGCTACACAATTTCATGCAGACTACGGGCCTTTAGAGAGTTTAGGGTTTAGGGCTTATAGGGTTTAGAGCTTTGTTCATTTCCGAGATCCCGACTGTGATGATTGAATTACGTTGCTGCAGCATTCGTTCATTTTCCATATAGCAGCCCGCTTTGCTGTGTTTTGCGAGTGGCTGTTGGCGCGGATAAACGGAGAAAGCCACACGGCACGCGAACAGCGAAAAGTCGAAAAGGGGTATTGGATAGAGATTTTGCAAGAAAAAGCAGAAAAGCCGAAAAGGCAAAAAGTCAAGGAAAAACCGCGAAAAGCCGACAAGTACAGCAACAAGCGAAAACTCGAAAGGCCGCGAAAAGTCGAAAAGTGCAGCTAGACACGAAACGTCCAAAAGTCCAAAACCGGGAAGAGTCGAAGATCACTGCCTAGCCCTTGGCCTACCTACATTTGCACACTTTTTCCCGGCCAGCCCTTGCTTGCCAACCCTAATAAACCCTAAACCCCAAACCCTAAACCCTAAACCCCAACCTCTTGGCCTCCTGGGCTTGCCACTGTGCTTGCGCCTGGAACAACAGCCCAGGCTACAGGGCTGTTGTGTGAAAACCGGAAAAAATCGACGAAGCCGACAAGGACCGAGCTTTCCAAAGGCCCAGAAAAAGGCAAAAAGCCACGTCACCCGAAAACGTACAGGAAAGTGCGAAAACGCAGAAGAATCAAGGATTCGAGAAGCAGAAAATTGCCCGGAAAGTACAGAAAAAGTACGAAAAGCGCAGGCAAAGTCGAACAGTCGAAAAACCCGACAAGCACCGAACAGTGCGAAAAAGCACAGAAAAACGCGAGAAGTCGAAAAGCCGAAAAGTCGAAAACTTTTCGACTTGTTTTCTTTTCGAGATTCTGTTCTCCGCTTATCGAAACCAACGCCTGCTTGCCTACTTAGCCGCTTTGGTCGTGGGGTAGTCGCTGACTTGTGCAGCTCGGACCTCCCCTTCCTTGAGGATCGAGGCTAGGGCTTGAAAGCAAACACAGGTGGAACCAGAAGTGTACGCCCACGATCTCCCACGACATAGGATGCAGTAGTGGATGCAGTCCTTGATTTTGCATTGCGGCCATTTCTTCTGAGTTCGTAAAGGCTGCCACGCACATCTTCCATAACATGGGTAGTGAGTATGTCCTACACGTTTCCAGCTTCTGAACACAGCTCTCCGTTGGGCCAGGGTGCCTATGGCCTACCCACACAGACCTGAGCAGCTGCTGCCACGGCAACCTGCAGCTATCCTTTCCCCTCAGGCAGGGACTACGCTGGCCCTGCTTGTTGCAAAACCAGTAAGAGACAATGACACGATCATCGTGGGTTGTGGATGACCTTTGCTTCTACTACGAGCCGGGCTATGCTGCCGGATGCTATGTTCTCGGGAACGGTAGCATTGGGCTTGCTGTCGGGGAGCAGTTCTTGTTCGTAGACCTGTAGGTCTTATGCTTGTGAATGGTGGCCTGACCTGTCCAGGCTATCAGCTTAGCTGGGAACTCGCCTAGTACTGTGTAGTGGCGAGTTGGTGTAGAATTACTACTACTTTGGAGCTGTGGGCCCGAGTTGCTGCGGAATAGGAGGAGACCCCATCGGAGGCAGACTTATGAAGCCCAGGATGTGATTCATGCTGTCACAAGGAGGATTCTGCAAGGATCTAGTTGCAGTATTGCTACCGTAGTTGGTGCTCCGGCCAATTCCGCTTTGAAGTAATTTCGATTTCTATGGAGTCACCCCCCCTAGCTTTAAATGAGGTCAGTCTCGCTTTAAAGTGGAGAGTCTTGGGTCGTCCGTAATTTTAAAATGGTAGCCCTGGCTCTAAAGCGTTTCTGTTCCTGTGGGATCGCCCCTAGCGTTAAAAAATAAGCTCTAGCTTTAACAAGCAGCCTCAATTTGAAAAGACCCCTTTGCAGGCCATCCCAACGGAACTATCGAGGCGTTCTTGATATTGAGGGGAAATGAAAGGAAAGGCTTCTTCCGAGTATTGTTGGTTCGGCCTCGGCTTCCTCCCTCAAGCGCGAGCTAGATCCCCTTCCCCCATGACCTGACAGGTTGCTGGTTACCAAGTACACGACCCGTCGCACTGTTGGAATTGCGGCCGTCTGACCGTCCCGGCTTTCCGTGTGTCGGTTCTGGCTGCAGTAGCTGTGACAGTGACTGCATCGCCTGGCAAGCGAGTGCAGTCAGCTTAGCACATGCGAAGATGACCAACATGCTGCGAGGATTACGGGCAATCATTCATTTTGCCCTTTCTGCGGTGAAGCGCAACTTCCCGCGACGCCCCCTTGGCGGCATTCAGGGCAGGGGCGTTTCGGCTGTTTCAGAGCAGAGCTCCCCTACAAAGTGTACTTGGCTGAGGTCAAGCCCAAGCCCCGGACAGTCTTTCTGGATTTGAGGAGTTCAAGTCCAGTGCTGCACGTTGACTTGTAGGTTGGCGAAGTGGCTTTGAGGTTGACCTTGTGCAACGTGTCGCACGAAAAACCTGATCTGCATAGAAGTGATGCATCATGAAATGTGGTCTAAGTCTAAGCCTAAGCAGAGCGTTGGCAATTTTCCCACATGTTGCTTCCAAGTCTAACCTCAAGACATTTCCAGTTCGATCCTGCTTGCACGGCTGGCAGTACAGCGTTATTTCGGATCATTTTCACGCTCTCGGAGCTCTCACTGTGGTTACCTTGTGCGTTTGAAATGACGCTGTTCCGGCTGCAACGGTACCTGGAAGGCTTGACCAGGAGCCCGCATCCGTTTTTCTCGCCACAGGGTGATGATGCCCAGCTGTCATTGGAAGGCCACAATTTGAAGGCCGACGCTACAAAGCGGCGTGTGGCAGGCCGAGCGTTGGACGGGCAAGGAGGCCAACAGCCCCATAGCCCCGGGCCAACAGGCTATACAAGCTTGTTTTACCCCCCGCATCTGCACAGTACCACCAGGTGGTTGCTCAGCATGTACATTCTACGATTCTACAGTTTCGGACGTGGGGAGCAACCCGGCTCTTCTTTCAGCTTGCCACGAAACCCCTTGGCTAAGCTTTTCCACCAGAGATCACTCACAAGATAGGCTTCATTGGCGAGCCGCCAGGAGCGAAAGGTCAGATGTGTTTTGAAGACAGATGAGCAGTGATGGGCATCCGCCCACATGGAACAGTTTGCTTAGCTTGGAAATGTGATGCAGCTTGACCTACAAAGTGACTCTGAGAATTTTATCAAGTTCCCAAATCAACTTCAGCACTCGAGCTCACGGGGATGCATGGACAGTCCACGACGCACACTGAGAAGAAGAGTTACAAGCATCTTATCGCGCCGTGTCCCTGCCGCTTCCCGTCTGCGATCCCAGCTGATGCATAATGCTAAGAAATTACCTCAGGTCTAAAGCTTCTTTGCTGGCTGCCTCTCTGATCCACCTCATGGGCAAGCAGCAACACCCGGCATTGCGTCACGTCAGCTACGTCATGCTTAGGGTCTTCTTGCATAGGTCATGCTTCTTGCCTGCGAGTGGGAGCTTGGCAGGGTGGAAGTTTTAAATTTTATCAAGTGATCGCGAGGAATGCTCGCTGGTGCTTGTTAGATTGTGCGTGTTGGCCGCCTGTTGGCCAGGGGTCGACAGTCGACTCACTCGGTCGACAGGGTTGAGTACATCTTTCCGATTCGTGCGTCCCTTTGCCTCCTAGAACACCAATCCATCACATCTCAGTTCAAGCAAGAGTTGCACGGGAAGCGATCTGCCTCTTCTGATGCGGATGCCGGTGTTGAGGGTTTTTCTGGCTGTTTGCAAAAGAGCGTGGCCAGGGAGCAGTGCCTGCTGCTTCATTCTCAGCCATGGTGTCGGCGTTGCTTCGGTATCGTCGCCTCTTAGGCGATCAGCTGTCCCAGCAGATTCAGGACCTCAAGGCAGGGGCATTCGGAGAAGCCTCGCCTGAACAGCGTTCCAGCGAGTGCACGGTGTCTGCCTTCAACCAGCAGTCCTCATAATTCCTTAGAAGGAGAAGCCGGAAAATCACTCACCCCGAGAGCTAAACGACGCAGCAGGCGGAGGAGAGAACTGCTGCCGCGCGAAGACGGGAGCTCGATCGTGAGGCACAGCTCTGGGTTTGGAGGTTCAGCACATCCGGCATTGGTTGCATGCCCCCTTTTCCGCCAAATACAAACCGCACAGCAGGTTGGCGAAATACAGCAATCATGATCATCGTCGTCATCATCGTCATCATCAGCACCGTCTATCTTCCCGTCATACTCTTTGGTGTGCAAGCACTGATGCCTAGAGGAAGCCTTCAGCACGGCGTTGCATCTGACGGCCTCGATACAGTTTATATACGGGGTTGGTTTCATGAAGGGTTCTACAGGGGATGCCATAAGGGTTCTGAAAATTGTGGGGTGGGGGGGGGGGGGGGGGTGTCAGGGAGCAGGGCTTCTCCAAATAATGTGATGTCAAAGCCTCGAGCTGGTCAATTTTTTTGCAATATGCTTGCTTTGTATACTTTGCACTGTAGCGCCGGCTCAAAATTCCTAAGTCAGGCTATCCACAAGATGTTCCTTTGGTGGCTCTAGCCCCTTAGCCTTTGGTTACAGGTTTTTCTCCGAACTACAGCTATTTCCTTGCAGCTGGGATCGAATAAGTTATCATTTGTGCAGCCTTCCGGATCGATCGTGTCGACCCTAAGCCAGAAGGTGCTTTAAAACAAAGCAAAGCAACAAGCCCTAAACCCTGAACCCTAAACTGTGCAAAACACGGTTGCATGGGGCTACCCTTACTGGCTTCAGGGCTACATTCGGTTGGTTTTGGGTGACCGCCGGTAGGGGTTAACCGGGTAATTGGTCGGAATCCCCTCGACTCGGTCTCCCGTAACCATGCCTCACTTGGCATTCCACCTCCAGACATGGGCGGTAGGAAAAGAGAGTACAAAAAAACAACTGTGCAAGAAGCTGCGGGCAAGGTTCATGGCCTCGTCG